TAGACCATCTGAATTTCTTCAAATAGAATGGCTTAAGGACTGTTTAATTCTTGGCTCTCTCTGTTATACTATAAATAAAAAAAAGTCTGTGTTCTTTAAGCCATGATTTATATAATTAATCTTCAAGTTATATTGGTTTCTAGATATATCATTTAGATAATCCACCTTCACCATATGTACTCTGTCCAAAACCCTAGTGACTCAGGAGCCTGTTCTTACAAAAAAAACAATTGGCCATCCAGTCTCCTTTCTAGGTTTCCCATTCCTGTGTATTGAACTATCATTCTTCCCAGTAAGAGAACATGAGAATAACATAAATGGGAAAAATACCTTAAAAGTCTAATGGTCTGACCTCCAAACTTTACAGATAAAAAGACATATAAGTTGCCCAGGGCCCACTATTACAGCTAGAATTCCTGTCAAAAACAAAAAAAAAAAATCAACAACAAAAAAAGCTGAAAGTTAATGATAGCTAGTTCTAATATTCTTTGTACTTGCGTTCTTTGAATGAGAAAATAGTAGAAAATAGTGGCAATCTTACAGGATGCAGTTAAATGGTATAATGGATGTGAAAATATTAACTGCAGTGAAGAGGACAGATGCAGAAGAAACGTCTGTCAATCACAGAAATCGACCATTTCTGATAACTTTAGTTCTCTATTCCCTTTCCTTCTCTGACTCACCTCTTCCCACCGTCTCTACCCTAAAGCCCTAACTGACTTGAAAAAGCAACTCATAACTAATCTCTCTTTTCCATTTTCCAGTCCAAATCTATCCACACACCACAGCCATATCAATCTTTGCAAACCCCTCTCCCCTGTTCAGAAACTCAAAATAGAAGTTCTATGGTTTACTGGCAAAAGAATGCTGTCCTCATCCCATGTTCATCTTAACAACCTCAGTCTGATCCCATAAACCTTTTCAAAGCATTTTCCCATGGTTCTAGTGGACACGTTCTGTTCTGGTTTGTGGGGAACTCTCAGGTGGGGAACTCTCAGCTGCAAGGTCAAGCTCTGCCATCCCTCTTCTTCCCTGAAGTCTACACTGCTAAAGTCAGACGGACATTCTTCCCAGAACCAAAGGCACTAATTACATCAAATCTCTAATTGTTTCACTCATAAATGTGGGGATTCTGCTTCTCTGAACACATTATAGCTCTTCCACCAGTTTTTAATAATTCTACCTAATATCCTCCCCACAGTGCTTAAAATGTAATGTAATAAACAAAAAAATAAAGAATTCTGAATAAACTCAATTCTTATAAAAACAAATTAGAGATGGGGCACCTGGGTGGCTCAGTAGGTTAAAGCCTCTGCCTTCGGCTCAGGGTTCAGGGATTGAGCCCCACATCAGGCTCTCTGCTCAGCAGGGAGCCTGCTTCTTCCTCTATCTGCCTGCCTCTCTGCCTACTTGTGATCTCTGTCAAATAAATAAAAATTTAAAAAAACAATAGAGACTTTTCCCCCATAATGCCAGTTCACATGTGTAATCATTTTCCCTGAAGCAACATCCTAAATAAGGCAGAAATTTACAGGTAGAGAAAATTAGCAAGTCCATAATACTTTTCTGTACTATAAACAGTGTTACCTCTGTAAATAATTTACCCTGTATAACACGTGGTATATTTAAGGCAAGTTTCATTTGTCAAAATATATCAGTAATTCCTTAAATTTAAAAGAAGTCACATCCACATTGTGAAATATCTTCTTGAATTGAAGCATCCCTATTTACATTTATGGATACTGAGCAGAATTTGGAAGCTCAAGATTAAAGGCAGAAATTTCTATGGCTGCTTTTATCCAGTTCCAAAGTTGTAGATGAGAAACTTTGGTCCTCTGCCCTCCTTTTTCACAATGTTAGTTTTATATTTACTATTTTTTAAAGATTTATGTATTTATTTGAGGGAGAGAGAGAGAGAGAGAGAGAAAGAGTGAGAGAAGGAGCAGGGGGAGGGGCAGAGGGACAGGGAGAAGCAGGCTCCCCGCTGAGCAGAGAACCTCACATGGGCCTGATTCCTGGACCCCAGTATCATGACCTGACCTGAAGGCAGACCCTTAGCAGACTGAGCCACGCAGGTGCCCCATATATTTACTATTTTTAAGAGAGTGACCATGTTAGCCACATTCCACCTGTTTAGGGAGGGTCAGGTTTACACAAACACAAGATGTACTCATAACTTTTGCGAACAACACCCTGAGGTGATTCCTGTTTCTGGAAACTTGGCTATCATGTCTAATACCTGGACTATTTGGTGAATTTGGTTCATAAAAAATAAAATAATAATAAAAAGTCAAATAGATTGTATTGCTGAGTCAACTAGTTGATTCCAGTAGGATTTGATGCCACATAGAAACATAAAGTGACCACAAATTGTAGATCATCTATCACAATGATGACATTTCCCACTGTATTCTCAATTTCACATCTCACATTTTGTGAAGTTTCTGGAAGAAAGAAAAGTAAAAAAAGTTTTGTTTCCACCATAGGTAAACCTCTGTTTAAGTATTTACGTGGCAGAAACTTATTGCAGGTTGGATGTTTTCTTATAACGGTATCTATTCTCTGCTAAGTTTTCCAGCAGTAACATTGAATATTACTTTAGTCGTGATAGTCTTCAAAATAAGATACACTCAGGACCCATGTAAGTGTGAATAATTAGATTATTATCCTGCACACAACTCAACAAAAACTAACAAGAAATCTATATTTTTCTACAGTTATAAAACCGATGTAAAAAAAGATCTTTCACTTTAACATTAACACACATTAAAAATTTAATTCACTAAGTTTGTGTTTTTATTCCTACAATTCCCTAATCTACTAAGAAAGCAGTTTTGCCAGTTTCTTTTCTTTGCAATAACTTTTTACTGCAGATATTTCTGAAGATATTGGAAGGCTTAACTTCAATGGTGCACAAAACAGAAGACAGAACCATCTCTTTTGGTTTAAAAAATACCTACTTTGGAAACCATGAATTTCTCCTCTTTGATATGATTACATGTTAAATTTATTTCATTTTAAGTTTAATGTTTTTATAAGAAATGAATCAACAGAGTCTCTGATACAAAGTTGCAAGCCAGTTAATATCTTTTGAATGCAGAAATTAAATAGGACTAGTTCCAAATATGTCTTTCTGAAGAGAGTGAGTTTTACTATCTAGCTTACAACTTTCAAAATTGATCTAAATTCTTAGAGTTATCATGCCCGTGGCATTAGAATCAAAATTATGAAATAAAAACACACTACATAGTTTCTCTTCATCTGGTTAGCTGTATAGATAACATTTTATTTGTATGATTTAATTGCATTTCTTTTAAGATATAAAGTGTGTGATAAGAGCAAACTCAAAAGCGAACTCAAACATATAAAGTGTGTGATAAGAGCAAACTCAGTCTCAAATGACAGCTGTGAAAAACTCAGATACTCTGTTTGTCTTTAAAGTTATGTTAATTACCACATTAATAAAGTGTTTGTTTTTTAGAACTCTTTCTCCCTTCTGTTTGGGCGCCGACGTACCCCCAACCGTAGAAGTAAATATGCCTAAAATTGGTGCTGGTCTTGATAAGCCATGGTGATGACATCAGCCTGAGTTCCAGCTCCTGGAACGCAGAACTGTGACCACACAGTGACTTGTGAGCAGCTAGGTCCTGACAGAGCTCTCCTTGTCACCACGTGTCACTGATTTGGAGCCAAGACTTGTACTCTAAGTATACTGCACCATTTAAACACAGGTATTCTGGAATATCTGCTTGGTCAAATGCAAGGGAGAGAGGGAGGGAAAGAGGAACTAAGGTTTTGTTTTTAAATATGAGGAATTTAAAACTAGATGCGGTCCACAGCAATGTCAATATACTTAATACCACTCAATCACCCACTTAAAAATGGTAAATTTCATGTTATGTATATTTCATCACCAGAAAGAAAAACTATTTGAGAGTGGTTCTGAAAACTGTGTCCATGGATTTCAGAAGTTTTTCACAACTGTCTAGTAACTTTCCAGGTCCAATATATAATCCGCTATAATTCTGCCACATTGACCAGGTAACTTTTTCTGCCATACCTCCTTAGTAAGCCAGGCTGCTTGGAACCTAAACAAATATCCATTCATCAGGTCACCCACAGAAATCTCTAGCTGAAAGTACCACAGAGGAAAATCTGGAAAGTACCAGGTAAAGCTGGGTGTTACACAAGGAGCAAGTGTAAACATCACTTGCTCCCAGGCTGTGACCCTCTCTGAGGAGCTAGGAAGTGCAGAAACCCCCAGGATCCTATCTCAGGACTGGCCCTGCCGCAGCCCTGCCTGTTTGGCACAAGGGCAAGCAAAGGCTGGTCAGAGTTCCCAGGCTTTAGGGTCCCACCAACTGAATGTGGGTTCAAACACTTCCTAGAGGATACAAGCACCATTCCAAAGGGCTGAGGCAGGCTGCAGCAGCAGCAAGACATATCTTCACTCTCCTGTTTCCAGTCAAGAGTGAGCCTGCAAGAAAGGTTAGCCCGGTTCTGCTGGGCAAGTGCTCAGTGCTGCCTCAGAAGCTGCAGGACGTCTGTGCCTGCCTGCTCTCCCAGGTAGGGTAGGTCCAGAGACTGAAAATCGCCTCAGCTTGCAAAAGATATTTGAAATAAGGAGAAATGCACAACACCAGGCTATAGTTGTCACAGCCATTCTGCTCCCACTGCACCTGTTAGAAACTCGTATCTGTGCACATGCACTGAAATGACAGGTGGGCATCCTCCTACTTTCTCTGGTTAGAGTGTAAGCAGCCCTATGGTCTCCAGTTGTGTGTAAACAAAACCTAGAAGGATACCTGGCACTTGAAATGTGCTCAGCAAATAAATGAGGAGCTCAACTCTGAAGCCACAACCAAGATAGGGGGACAGAGGCCTCTCCAGTCCTCTGTGGTTGCAAACACACCCATGCGGGTGCTGCCACATCCAGAGATTTCCTTTGCCCGCCGCCACGCTCGCCCACCCTGACCTCCGCACTCGCTGGAACTACATACCAGCAACGGCGACCAGCAGACCAACAGCACGCACATGATCCCCATGAGCTGGATGGCCGTCTCGGTGGTGATCCGGCCCCACTGGGCGCCGGACTGCGACGCGGTGGCCTTGGCCCGGCAGCGGGACACCAGGGCCTTAATGGTGGCCAGATTACAGGCGAAGGTGACGGCCAGCGCCGAGAGCCCCAGGAAGGCAAAGGTGGAGGCGAAGAAGAGGTTGCCCCAGTTGTGCGACGCGCTAGTCCCGTTGCCTCCTTCCCCGGTGCTAATGAAGCACCATGTCCCGGGCCACTGGATGGTGTACTGGCCTATGCCCAGCACCGGCAACAGGGCGAAGGCGAGCACCGCCAGCCACACGCCGAGCAGCACCGCGCGGGTGGCGCGCGTCTTCATGTGGCTCGCGTACCAGTGCGGCGCCCGGATGGCCAGCGCCCGCTCGACGGCCATGGCGCTGGCGATGAAGAGCGAGGAGAGCCCAAAGACGGTCATGGTCAGACCGAAGAAGGTGCAGAGCCTCCCCGACGGGTCGAGATGCTCCCAGCGCTGCTTGGACAGGTACACGACGATGACCACCGGGCTGGTGAGCAGTTGCCCGACCAGGTCTGTGAGCGCCAGCCAGCCGATGCACAGCAGGAACGACTTCTTGCGCTTGCTCTCCCGCCGCCGGTAGCTCCGCGACACGAGCAGCATGGCCAGCGCGTTGCCCACGAAGCCGGTGATCAACATGGTGATCGGGAAGGCTACCGACACGGAGCCGCAGTCCTCGCGGGGGTCCCGGGAACCCGTGAGGTTGCCCTGCGCCGCGGCGGAGAGCTCGAGCGACCACATGCCCGGGTAAGAGTGGTTGAGGCGGGTACAGAAAGGGGCGCTCCCGTCGCCCCGGGTCTCCTTCATGCTGGCTTCGAGGTGAGGAGGGGACGGCGCCCGGAGAACAGCAGCGGGAGCTGGCGGGCGGGGCGCGGGCGGCGGCGAAGGTCGGTGTCCACCCGGACTGGGGCTAGGGCTGGGCTGCCCTCCATGATGCGGGGCGTAGCCGCCGCCTCACTTCTTTCCTCTGGCGGCGGCGCCGCGCCGTGGGCTCCGGGAAGCCTGTAGCTCCGAGGCGCGCGAGGTGCGGGCCCCTTCTATAAGGCCGCGGAGGGCGGGGCGCCCGGGGGTGTGGGCATAAGTGCGCTGGGAGGAGGATGGAGAAGCAACTGTGCGCGTCTCTCGGCTGCTGCGTGACCGCTGTCCTGGCCGCCTGGGCTGGAAACTCCCAGGAGGACTCCTTGCTCCCACTCCTGGCCGGACGGGACGCCTAGCCAGTCCTCTCTTCCCTGCGGGGCGCCTCCTCCTCTTCTTTGCCAGAGGAGCGCCCGTGGGCGGCCGGGGCTAAAATGTCTCGCTGCGCTTCCAGTCCCGCGGCAACTTGCCAAGGCCGACCTGAGCGCCCGACCCCCTCCTCACCCATCCACCGACTCTAACGTAGAGACTCGATCCTCGTCCTGAGGCTCTTTTGTAACCCTGGCAAGTGTAACTCACTTGTCCCTAAGCGATCCAGGCAAACCACACTCTGCGTAGCTGAATGTGAACTTTTCTCCCTTTAGGTACTCTGGGGTTCCAGAATGATCGCGAGCCGACCAAGCTGCTCTGTTGCCAGAGGGCGCTCTGAAAATACAAAACTAATAGCGCCTTGAGAGAAGGGATTCGTAAAGGGAAACAAAATCGGACGCTGGCATCCAAAGATGAAACCTCAACCACCGCTCTCCACTTAAAATCTCCCCTTCCCCCCGTTAAAAAAATTAGGGCTAAAGTGCCTAGAGGCAGGTAGCACCCACTTGGTTGTCTGAGCTCGTGAAACCAACTGCCGCCTGCCTATGGGAGCTGGAGCGACTGGGTGCGGAGAGAAGCAAGCTCTTCCAGAGCCTCCAATCATTCTCCAATCCTTGCCCATTCTCATACCGTTAGGACTAGAAACTGTAGTTAGATGTTAGGAAGGTCTTCATATTGAGTGAAAACGGGCATAATTATCTAGTAACATCTTTTGTTAAACCAATATTTAGTGTGTTTTCACAGTCTCCCGTTTTATCAGAGATCTTCCAAGGTCCTGTTGGTATTATTACTCCCCTTTGACGATGAGGTACTCAGGCTCCATGAAGTTAAGGGATATGCCCAAGGTCTTCCAGCAATTCTCCAGCCTCTGTCTTTACAGTGTCGTTTGTGTGGATACCGTAACCACTCTTAGCAGAGGAAAATCAATAGTAATATTGTTCCCACATTTTGGAAGGGTCTAGTTTTTCTGACTCTGCGCATTGACCAGGAAATGAAAAGATTTAAAAAGTTATAAATTTCATTTTTCTTCATATTTAAGAAATTAAACCTGATCATATAGCTGTGTGAATACCATTAACTCAGACTTCAGACTGACTTCTGTAGCAAGCCCGGTTAGCTCCTTTGCTTTTCCTAGCTTAGTTGGTATCTTTTTTGGCTGTAAATGAATGGTAGGTGATGGGAATGGAGTATGTTCTCACATTCTTTCTTTCTGTGCTGTTGTATTGATTCTGTTTTGAGATCTTGAAAAATATCACTATGGGATTTATATAGTTTTTGATTTTTTTAAAGATTTCATTTATTTTTGAGAGAGCACATACAAGGTGCGGGGGAGCGGAGGGAGAAGCAGAAGCAGATTCCTTGCTGAATAAGAAGCCTGATGCTGGACTCAATTCCAGGACTCTGGGATCATGACCAGAGCTGAAGGCAGCTGCTTAACTAGCTAGCTAAGCCACCCAGAGATCTGGATTTATATACTTTTTAAAGGAGAAAAACAAAAATGTAATTTAAACTTCATTTTAACAGCACACATTAATGAAATGACAGTATTATTTTGTGTTTTGATATCATTTAAAATTTTTTTTTCTTTTAATTTTTTTAAAGATTATTTAGTTGTCAGGGAGAGAGAGAGCACACAAGTAGGGGGAGAGGCAGTTTGAGGGAGAAGCAGGCTCCCTGCTAAGCAAGAAGTAAGGGACTTACTGTCTCTTACTTACTCCCTGCTGAGTAAGGCTCAGGACTTGATCCCAGGACTTCTGGGATTATGACTCGAGCTGAAGGCAGATGCTTAACCAATTGAGCCATCCAGGCATCCCATGAGTTTTCTCTTTTAAAATGTCATGTTTCTAATGAGAACAACAGCTACGAAGGAATACTAAAGTGGTTTACTTTTAAATCTTTCCCAAACTTTTATTAATTCAAAATAATCTGAAACCCATAATTGTGAAAGGTTTTTCCATAAAATGTCATTTAAAAAATAAGATCATAGTTGGTTATTATTAGATATATACTTTATCTAAAGCATATGGATGAAAGTACATATCAGATTAAATTTTTTCAGCAGTCTCTAGTATAATTATATATTTAAAGACTTAAGACTTTTTCATGATTCAAATAGCAAAAAAAGCAAAGCTGATGTTTTTCAGTTACAGCAAAAATTACTCTCTGGGGTGCCTGGGTGGCTCAGTGGGTTAAAGCCTCTACCTTGGGCTCAGGTCATGGTCCCAGGGTCCTGGGATCGAGCCCCGTATCGGGCTCTCTGCTCAGCGGGGAGCCTGCTTCCTCCTCTCTCTCTGCCTGCCTCTCTGCCTACTTGTGATCTCTGTCAAATAAATAAAATCTTAAATAAAAAATTATTCTCATCTTTATGAACATTTGACTTACTTGAATTTTACTTTCCCCCTTGCAGTGCATGTTGTAGCTAACTGGACTTTATAAGAGTAACAAGCATTGCGTAGTATGGAAGAGTTAATGTTGGACTCTTCACTCACCTCTATACAAAAGCTCTAAATGTGTTGCATTTCAGATCTTTTGCATAACACTTTCCTTTCAGCGATTTGCTTCATCTTACTCTAAGTTGTCTGCTTTGTAGTTATTTACGCTATAGTGATTTAGGGAATCTGAGGAGTCACAGAATAAGATACTGCCAGTTAGACTCTGGTTGGCGCCTTCTGGTGTCTAAGCAGTCTGAATTGTGTTGGTCTGAAACACCAGCACCCTCTAGTGACCAACCTAATAACATCCTGTGCACCATAAAAAGAATTTCTAAATGAGAGTTATGTGCTTTACTTTAGGAACCTCTGATATCTTTCTTAGAGATCTACTCACTAATACACAACTATGGTCATTTTGTTTTCCTTTGAGTCCACAAACTGTCATGTCCGCTTGATCAATATCCCAGTGGAGTATTAAAGTTAGGTCAGATCATTGAAAGACCACATTTTCAAATATGTTTTTTTTTTAATGTAAGTATATGTTCACACATGTTTTAAATTAGATCCCTATCTAGAAATGATTTTAATCTATAGATTTGTTTTCCCCATATCTTTTTAATTCACAACATATATCAATATTTAGCTAGTATTGATGAATTTATTTTGCTACTTCTCCTGAACTTGTATTAAGAAATCCTAAAATAGACATGGGTACAAAAACAAGATTAATGAACAGGACCTTGATTACCTCATTATGGATGGAAAATATCTGCAATTCTTACTCCATAGATCCAACTGCTAATTTCAGCATGTTTTTTATTTTTTATTTTATTTTTTTAAGATTTTATTTATTTATTTGACACAGAGAGAGAGACAGCGAGAGAAGGGGCACAAGCAGGGGGAGTGGGAGAGGGAAAAGCAGGCTTCCTGCTGAGCAGGGAGCCAGATATGGGGCTCAATCCCAGGACACTGGGATCATGACCCGAGTCGAAGGTAGACACTGAACGACTGAGCCACGCAGGCACCCCTTCAGCATGTTTCTTTAGTCACTCATTTATTCATTCATTCAAAAAATATTTACTGAACACCTATTCCATGTCAAGCACTGTACTCGTTGTTAAGGATGTAAAGGAAATACACAGAAGTCTACATTCATGGAGTTTATGTTTAGGACAAAATACTTGATTTTTAAAATCTGAAATAACAGAAGAAAGGAGTGCTAATTTCAGTGGCTTTTGTGATTTGCCATGGAGGTAAAATCTTATTTAAAATCCAATTTAAAACCATATGTACAATTTTCATGAAAAACTGAAAAAGATGTACAATTTTCATGATCAAATGAGATTTATTTCAGGAACCCAAAGTAGATTTAAACACTCAGATAGGGGCGCCTGAGTGGCTCAGTCATCAAGCAGCTGCCTGCAGCTCAGGTCATGGTCCCAGGGTCCTGGGATTGAGCCCTGCATCAGACTCCCTGCTCAGTGGGAGGCCTGCTTCTCCCTCTCCCACTCTCCCTGATTGTGTTCCCTCTCTCACTGTATCTCTCTGTCAAATAAATAACATCTTTTAAAAATAATAAAAATAAAAATAAACATCAACCAATATAACTGCCATTTTAACAAAATAAATGCTTTAAGTCTTTTGCTATATCAAACATCTGGGAACACTGAGTCCCTTTGTATTGACTGCATTTACTTCAAACCCTTCCTGTTTTTGTTTTTACATTCTTAGTAGTCTTCAGTTGAAAACTGCACATTGTAGTCAATATACTGTAGTGACTGCAGACTCTATTGTTTTCTTATGAGGATTACTGATTTGGTCTGGGGCTGGGGTGAGGGGTGGAGAGGACAGATGGAGCAATCATCCATCAGGTGGTTAATTTACCTGGATTCAAACTGCCAGCATTTCCTCTCTTATGGTATACAGCTGCTTCAGTCTCTGCTCTGTTCTCATGGTTTCTCATGGCTGTTCTGTGGAATGATCTACCCTATACTACATAATTTGTGGGTCAGTTAGTGATGGGGATCACCCTCTCTGTGTTTTTCTTGATTTACAGGGATTCTCCTCTAATTTCCAGCTGCTCTGCCAGCCTTGGGTATTTCAAATTTGTAAAGCTTCAACTTTTTGCCACCTAAGGTGCATAGGGAATAAACTCATTTAAGAAAAGCATCAAAGTCATGGACATAGTCTTGAGTAGTTTAAGACTAGATTCCACTCTGGGCCTCTGCTTGCTTTTTTACCAGGCTTCAGGGGTATCCTCTCTTATACAT